ATATGGGCACGCACAGACACACACACACACACCCACACCCACACACACACACACACACCTGCTGTAATCGATACTGCTTAGAACATAAACTGCAGGACCCTGCTTAACTTACAGGAAAATAAATAAAAGCAAAAGAGAGACCCTGGATCCCAGGGGAATTCTTTTTCCCAAAGCAATCAGACATCTGGAGTCTTGGTCTGATAAAAATCAATGACTCTTTCGGGGCAGTATATCCTTTAGATGTGGCTGAAGAAAGCAGTGCATAATGATGGGAGAACTGGTAGAGGGAAAGGCAGGCAAAGGAAAAAAAAACATGAGGAAAACTGTAACCTTTTCTTGCTGTAATAGACTGTGCCAACACATAGGCTACGGCATAATTACATGCATATATTTATAGAACTATGAATCTCAAAATAGTAGCAAGAAGCAGTTCTTTAGTATCTGACTCTTGTGGACAGATTCTTTACTATCTCTTTTGTGTATTTGTCTGTGTCTGTGTCTTATGATTCAAATGTATAGGAACAATCTCATTTTGTTCAGTAGTAAGTATAGTGTGCTATGTGCACATAATTGCAGGAAAACACTATATGGCAGTTTGAGTCATGAGTTCATAAGATAGTCGTTCTAATGGAAACTGGATCTGAACCAGGAGGGGGCAGGGCACAGTGCTGTTCAGCATCATCACAAATGCCTTGACCTTTTCTGTATTGATCACTCTATGCTCACATTCACCCACGCAAAAATATTGCAGCAAGCAAGCACTTACATATATTCAGGGGAGAAAACTACCCATTACGCATTCAAAATCACATAGCTGAATACATGAAAATAAGACATGTTCTTCTCACATATGGGCACTGTTGTTTCGATTATGAAGCAAGTTACCATTTGCAAAGGGAATATTTTTAAAATGTGTCTAGTTACCCTCACAACAGTCTTCAATGAAACATTTGCTCAAATATTTTTAGTTCCTCAAATATATTGAAAATAAAGTAATAAAATGTGAATATTAATTCAGTTTATAAAATTATGATCACTTTAATTAATATGTTATTTAAATAACTATATACTTTAATTTCTTTAGAGAATTCAGCTTGGCAAGAATTTTAAAATCAGAGATGTTGCAATAAAATTTATTCTAGACTTTCAACATCTTAAGCATTTGTAACAATACAAAAAAATACCTAGAATGTGAAGCAGGCCCATGAAAACAAATAGCCACCAAGCATTTAAATGCAGATGCTAGAAATCAATTACTGCTGGAGCAGACTTTAAAACATATCCCGTTTGAGCTTCTATGCACATGTCTAAATGGGATTTGGCAGGTGGATAAAAGATGTATTGATTCTTGTTTTGGAGATTGCTGTAGACTTGCTGCTTCAATAGAGTTTTGAACTAGGCTTGGATCTTGAACAAACTGAAACCTGGAATTCTTTCCTGGTATTGTAACCCCATCCCAGAATGACAAATATAAAAGCCAGGGCTAAGGATACTGTACTTGGAACAGCTGTTGCATGCTGTTGTCCAAGCTCAAAGGAAGAATTTTCTGGAGGAGAAAAACCTGCAATTAAATTCTCTTTAATTCCTGGGAAGTTTGTATCAGAAACACTGTATTCTCTGTGTAAATACTGTATTGAAAGAGTACTTATAAGAACCTCTTGCTTCCCAGTTCATGGGGCTTTTTTTTTTTTCTTTCTCATCCAGTGATATTGTACTTGTCTATATCTGGTAAGCTATCTAAATTTTGCCTTGATTATTTAAAATAAAATGCCTCAAGTGGCCATGCCTTTGGCTTTTGGGAGAAAAAGTTCTGAAAAACACCAAGACTAGAAAACAAGACGCATTTTTTAGAGTCATATTGCAGAGATTTATGAAATATCCTGAAAATATTAGCAAATTAATTGAATAGAATTGACATATCACTTCAGAATCAACCATCCTCAAGGCCACTCAATCACTTAAAGACCAATATGAAGCCAGACTTCTACTATGTAGTACATGTTCTTCCTTAAATATCATAGGGAGACACAGATGGGCTTGTTGGGGCCACAAAGAAGCCAAGATTCAGAGTCAGACATCACAGATTATCTATTAGGAGTAGCTGTGACTTCAGATTCAATACAGCAGGGTCCCCTCTACTTTGAATTCCCTCAAGGTGACTAGACCTCAAGTTTTTGATCCATCTTCAGATCTTAGGGGAAAAAATATGTCAACTAGGATATGCTGCTCATGTAGAGGACATCCACTTAAGCTTAGAGGCATGAGTGGCTACCTTTCTAGCCTAAAATTCTGCTCACCTATCAGCTGCTTTTCATGAACACCTCTGCTCTGTCTGTGCTGTAGTTCCAGAAGGGCTTTGGGACATAACAGACGAGTCATCTTTTGGCTGAACAGATCAAGGAAGCTCTTTACGGAAACTGAGTGTCAACCCCTACACACATCATTATGTCCACATTACTGACCACATGGCAGATGTAAAAGTGGGACATCAGTTTCTGTGTTTACCCTCTCAATTCCCAATCTCTTTCAGCTAACATCGATTTCTTAGGTGAACTGGAGAATGAGGTTCAAAACCTACTTTCCTGGAAGTCCATTGGTAAGAAAAGAGAAACACTCTGTAAACCCTGAGCAGGACTAAAAGGTTCATTTCATGTGTTTGTTAGAATGGAAAACACAGAGATTCAAAGACAGAGTAGAAAGAGTGTGTGGATCTGGAAAAGTGGTTGCTGTGTGGCCACCAGGGAAGAGGCTGTGTAAAAAGCTTCTCCCTTCACCTATTAAAACCAGAACCACTTGGCATCTCTCTAAGTAACAAATGGATGTGACCTGGAGAGAAGGGTTGTTTTTATGAAACTGTCCCCAGGGCTCGGTCTTTCAGACTGCATTTCCCTGTAATGCATAGATCACAGATCTCAGCACCATGTTCTTTAGCTTTTCTGCCTAAGGACTAACCCTTAGAGCTTCTGTTTTATCTCACAATCACAACTTCTGTAGAGAAGAGGACAAATCTGGATGGGGAGACCAAAGTGTCTGTTTTGCTTTTAAGGTACAGGGAGGATGTAAGAGGGGTGAAGAAATTCTCAGAAGATGAAGTTAGGGGTAATACTGGAGGGCTTCGATTGTATGAGGGCTGTTTTCTCAATTTGTAGGACTTTTGCTTTCCATGAAACCTGTTCCAATCAAACGATTTCAAATTGGCTTTAGGGTTAATCCCTGCCCACTCTCTGGAGTTAGCTGTGATCCTGCATGTTGAATGTATCAGAGTACAAGGAAAGATTCCTACTAACTCTCGTAGATGTGTTTTTAATACAATCACTATCTCCCGAGTACTCAGCCTGCTTGTAGGCTCATAAATCCACATGACAGACCCACCCGGCTTGTTACAGGATGGATTCATTGAGCCGTTTTGTTTTCTCTGAAACATGGAGGTGGTAGACTAAGTCAGTGCCACAGAAACTGTGGACAAAATAGAACGTCTCATCTCTTCTCCCACACAATACCAAACTGCACACTGCCTTCCGTGACTCAGCATGGCTACCTGTTGACGGTTGACCTACTGCTCCCCACACAAGGAAAAACAAAACAAAACAAGTAAACCCTCTGTTAAAAAGACAAAACAGGCCAACTTCCAATCTGTGTGTGTGTGTGTATGTGTGTGTGTGTGTGTGTGTGTGTGTGTGTGTGTGAGAGAGAGAGAGAGAGAGAGAGAGAGAGAAAGAATGTGTGTGTGAGAAAGAGAATGTGTGTGAGTGTGAGTTGTGTGTTCACTTAAATTTGACACTATTAACATTAAAACCCCAAAACTCTAGGCTATAATTCTTAGTAAGGTTAACTCTGAGAGGAAACCAGCCCTCTGAGGCACAGGCCACGTTTGTGTGCTGTTTCTCACTATAAAAATGGGACATTTCATTGCTATTTCATGGTAGTTTTACAGCTGCTATAGCAAAGTCTTCACATTTTTTTTTCACCATTGCAGCATCCTTGCAGAAAATAAGACAGAAGAGCTGCTCAAACCTTTGACCAAGTTAAACTTCAAACTATTGGAACCTTCAGTTTGTTTTCTAGACCCTTTTTTAACACTGTTCCATCTCTAGGCCCCAAATGTATGTGCATCCACCGTCTGTGGCTGTTCTAGCCCAGGCTTTCCAGTGTGTTGTAGTCTTGGATATCAGGACTGGGGCTGACTCCTTTGAGCCCTTTGCATGGTCCTGGACTAATTGCTTATTTAAGTGGCAGGCAAATGCTCCTCTCTCTCTTCTCTCTTCTCTCTCTCTCTCTCTCTCTCTCTCTCTCTCTCTCTCTCTCTCTCTCTCTCGCTCACTCACTCTGTGCTATTTTTAATTAATTGACGGATTGCCTGTATCTACGGGATATAATGTGATGCTTCAATCTATGTATCCGTTGTGGGATTAACTCATCCCCTCAAACATTTATCGTTTGTTCATTGCTCTCTGATTCCTTTCTCTAGCCAACGTAATACGACGAAGACAACGAACGCCTCCTGCCTTGGACACAACGTTTACTCTACTGAGTATTTCGAACTTCCGCAGCTACTTTTCCTCCGAATCTGTACTTTGCTTTTTCTGGAGCAGCATCCCTATGCCGTCCTGCTGACGTGGGTCAGGGAAAGACACCCTCCCTAAAGGCTGTCTTCTCCTTTCATTATCGGGGTAACCTAGAGTTCCCCAAGGAGCCTGGTACGGAAGTGTAATCTTCCCCTGGGACCTACCTGACATCGGAGACAAAGTGAAATTTAAAGTTGTAAATGTGGGAGAAAACAAAGGCCGCCGTTTTCGAGATGGCTTTTGTGCCTGGGGCTCGGTGTGTGTCTAAGCCCTGTGCATTGTCGGGCCCCTCCCTCCCTCCTCCTTCCTTGGATCTATGGATCTACGATGTAGAACTGCAGCTCCCTCAAGGCTAAATCTCCTGGCCAGGACTCAGACTGCACAGTCGACCTTCCCCATCCGCCCGGAGAATTGAATGACTACCAGGAGGCCAGAAACAAAACACTTAAATGTTGCATTTATTAAGGAAATGTTAAATAGGAAAAAAAAAAAAAAGTCAAATGGTGTCACGGATATCAAGAGCACTTTTGTGGCGTAAACCGTGCAGACACGAGCTACGAATTCTACTCTGGATCTTTGTCCCGGGCTTAGCTGGAGCCCCAGCCTCCCCAAAAGACCCAGCTGGAAATGCACTAAAAGAAAGCACTTAACCCCATTCACAGTCTCAGGCTCCCCTCCCCCCACCCCTTCTCCCAGGATGACAAAAACTCTAACTCGCAGGCAGGCAAACAGGCCACTAGGGCATAAAAGACTTATCAAATATTTGTATTCAAGCAAACTAACACAGATCTCTTAAAACCACAGGTTACTATTGATCAAAGTTCCACTCTCCCCGGTAGGTCGCAAAACCCACATCTATGTTCCCATTAGGTCTAGCAGCGTGCTGTATAAACAGGTCACTTTTCCGGTCACCCGGCTACTGGTGCCGCTGGATGTTCCCCCCACCCTCGCCTTGCTCGGCCTCTCCAGCTGTCCCCAGTGCTGGGCCCACCTGCAGGTGGAAAGGGGCCTTCGCCCGGTCCATCTCCCCGCATCTCAGGCAAACAGCCGCTTCCAAAGTTCTGCTCCCTAATCGCCCTCTTTTGCCACCTGCTGCTGAGTCCCGAAGTCTGGACGCTCCTCGTCTGAAGGCTTGCTTGGGGCCTTTCGGAGAGCGATCAGAAATGGGTCACTTTTTTTCCCCAAAGGCAGAAGTCGAGAGAAAAAAAAAACTTGACTCCGACAGGTTTGCTTTGCTCGGTCTCTGATGGTGAGGGGTGCATCGCGGCTGGCGGAGTAACTGGAGGTGCCAGGAGCACCAGCCGTGGGGGACCCGAGGGCCACTCAGTAGGGTCCCACGACCACTGCCTCAACCTCTTTAGACGGCCTCCGGTCCTTCACCAGGAAGTTGATCATGCCTTCGGATTTGATGAGTAGGTTGCAGCCAAGGAAGAAGATGCCAAAGACCACGGTGAGCGAAAGCACGCACATGACTGCGATCTGCACCACACGCATGATGTACAGGCTACGCTCGTCGGGGCCACCCTCGGCGAAGCCATCGTCGGTCACCACCGACGCCTGGGTGCAGCAGCGCACGGCGCGCTCCAGCGCCTCGCTGCTGTTGGCCAGGAAGAGGCCGGCCACGTCGGTCTGGTTGCCCAGCACTGAATTCATCCCGGGAGCAAGCGGGAGCCGGAGAGGCGATGATCGGAGGGGTGGGGACCGGGGTGGCGGTGGAGAGGGAGGAACAGGTGCTTGACGGAGCGCTGGCTGGCACACTTGTGCGTGCGGGGCTCCTCGTCTTCCCTTTCGAAGTCCCCGGGCCGTGAGTGTCTCAGGAACCTCTCCCGGGCGTGCTGCAAGCTGGCTCGTGTGCGCCGTGTGCTGCTCGGGCAGTGCTCGTTCCCGGCGCTCGCTCGACTGGGAGCTCTTGGAACTTGGCGGGTTGGGCCGGAGGGGCAGTGGGAGGCGCGGGCCGCGGCGGTGGCCCGGCGGCTGCTCCGAGCGAATAGCGGCCCCTGCTGGTGACAGAGCCGCGCTGCGCCCCCCTAGGCCGGGAGGTGGGGGCGAGGAAAAGAGCCAAACCTAGCAGGCTTTGTGGTGCTTTCTGCAATTCCAAAGGCCAGGGAGAGGTCACTAAACACTCCTGACGTGATGAACAAGTAAAGAATTTGGGGAGAATGGCTGAAAGAGGCAGAGGACTTGGGTCACAGCCGCTCTTGAATGTGTGTCCTTCGATGACTCCCCTCTTACCTATGAGTTGACTCTAAGTGGCCAGGTACCAGAAGGGCTGGCCAAGGCACCGGCCCACTGCCTATTCCTGACTGCTGTTTGTCCCGAGACAAGGGGGGCGAGATCCGGGAAGTTCTTTTCTTCTCACTTTTTTTTTGGGGGGGGGAGGGAGGATGTGGTGGTGTTGTTACTGTTTTAAGGAAGGGAAAACAGATGAAAACATAAGAAAGCATAAAAGAGCCACATCCCTACCCTCCTCGGGGAGCAACTGCATGCCTAGTAAAGCGGGATTTTCAGTGAGCTGTGAGGCCAAGGCAAGGGGCAGGGTGACGAAGGAGGTGTTCTTTGTGGCTCATGGGTGGAGGTGGTTGCCAAGAACAGGGTCACCTACCTCCTGCTGGTAAGGGAGGTGGACAAAGTGACCACTTCATTGCAACTTTAATTGCAGAAGAGTTTTTGGATGAGCTTCCAGTGTTTTCGTCCTTGGCAGGAAATCAGTTGTTTAAGGGAATTGCTCATCCACATCCATCACCTAGAATGCTAGCCAACAGCTGGAAGCCTCCCTCCAGAAGCTGATGCACACACCCTGCCTTCCTTTCCCACACAGAGCAAACTGCTGGCTTTTCGGGGAGCTATGGAGGCTCTGTGCTTCGTGACTGCTGTTGGTTCCAAGCTCTAGCAGAGTCTTACAAACTGGCCAATTCGGTTTAAGTTCTGGTAGATTCGGGATTATCTCTCCTCCTTCCTCTTTCCCCCTCCTCTTCTCCCCTCCCCCGGTTCTCTCCTTTCTTTGCTGCCCTTTCTTTTTATTATAATGACTGGAAATGAGAGACTGATATTCAGTCCAAACTTTTGAAAGAATACGTCTACCCGTTTTTACTGAGATATTGGAGTTGTTTTGCTATTCTCTGCTCTATTGGATGTGGGGGTGGGGAGAGGCTCTGTAAGTAGCTCAGACTGTCCTTGAACCAGTCATTTCTGTGTTTAGCAATGATAGGCGTGCACAGAGCCTTTTAATTACATGATATTTGCTTGTTAAATCCCCCTGTAAGAATCATCGATCCCATATTCAGGTTTCCTTAATGTCTTAGCACTAATTCATGATGCGTCCTCTCAAGCCAAAGGATCGTTTTTTAGACAAGATTTTTTTTTTTAATTTTCTGGAAGCTTCAGTAAGTTCTAGATATCTAGATGCTTTTGTTATGGAGAAGAGGGAGGTGTGAACAGTAGAGAACCCAGGCTCCCAGGACTCACCCACATTTCCCTTGGCTTAGTTGCTCTAGTTTTCATGATTCAGTCAACCTTGAAGAATCTCTCCCCTTTAGTAATATCTCTTTTTTGATTAACTTTATTATTAATATATCTTAAAGAATTCTTTAAGTTTTGTTACCCAGGTGATAGAATAACAGTGGCTGGATTGATAGCTAACAGTTAAGAGCATATACTACTCCTCCAGAGGAACCAATTCAGTCCCCAGCCCATGTCAGACAGCTCACATCTGCCTGCAATCCCAGCTCCAGGGGGATCTCTCGCCTCTGGCCTCCATAGGCACCTTCACTCATGTGCAAATACCCACACGAAGATACACATACATCCAATTAAGAATGCATCCTTTTAAAGAATAAGAAGTAAAGTATATGTGAAAATTTACCAAAGAAAGTTAAGACAGAACAAAGTCACGCTGAGTGAATGACTGAAGCAAATAGTGATTTAGAAAAGCAAATGGGCAGAGACCAGAACAGAACACGATTCCTGGGAATGTGAACAAGGCAGGTGTGGTTGCACATCGAGGTATCAGGCCTTTCTATGACAACTCAATAGCACTTGCTTATCCTACATTTCTGAGGGCCAGGATACCAACACAGGGAGACCTCAGGGTGAAGGAGAGGAAGGCGGAGAAGGAGAGAGGGAAGGAGAAGCATAGGAGGGATCTGGGAGAGGAAGAAATGTTAGCTGAATCATTGTTAGAATACATGTGATTTTGTTGCTATTTAACAGTTATTGGCAGTGTTACTATTTTAGCCAAAAGTCAGTGTTAAAATGATCGGAGATTTATACACTGGATAGTTTTACGTCCAAGCCAAACCTCATATTTTGGAGACTATGGTCAAAGGGAGTTAGGCAACACAGATTTTATTTCCTTTCTTTCAGATGTAACTACTAGCCAGTCCCAAAGTGAAGCTGAAGGCAATGCCTCCCCGCATCAGCCGGCACAGACCTATGGTTTTCTTCCTTTTATTCCCCAGCCTTGTGATTTTGTTCAGTACAATTGCTTCGAGTAGTGAAGTGGAAATGAACTACAAGTGGAGTCAGAGATTATTTTGTCACTTCCTGTTAACACTGGAGAGGTCTGGGCTGACTAGAACTGTTCTTTCTTTTTATAATGACTTAAAAATTGAAATAAAGCAACAATCATAGCTATCTTTTGGTATAGAGCTTCCCCTTAGAGTAATCCCACTCTTTATCTGTTTCATATAAAGTCTTAGGAGCTGTGGTAAAGCAACCTGTAAGAAAGATTCATACAACAGAACTTAACATCCAGGAAAACAAACCATGATATGGCAGGGAAGAGGGACTGATAATTCACTTTAAAGGAAAGATTTTGATACCTAGAAGGACTCATGTTATTTATATATATATATATATATATATATATATATATATATATATATATAGACTCATGATATATGTATATATATATATAAATAATGAGTCCTTCTAGGTATCAAAATATATATATATATATAGACTGCTTCTGCCTTGTTGAAGTAAGTTTGTATTTTGGGGAGCTAAATGCTTAGTATTTCATAGCGTTGTACAAGGACAGAATCACTTGCTTGCTCTTTCTGAAAAGTACATCTGTAGCATGTAATAAATTCTTCCAGGACATTCTAGGCCAATGTTGATGGCAGCTATAATCTGTACTTTGGATAGCCTTGAGGGAAGACCAGACACGTTCAGTACCAAAATATTTTTCCTTGATGTTTTGTGCTTTATGAAAATATCAAGTAGACATTTAAAGAGTGTATCAGACACTAAAAGGATGTTTATTGCTTTGGGGAAAGCACTTTTCTTAAATAAATTACTCTGTATTTCACAATCTAAGTAAGATAAAGAGGAAGTGCTCATACACAGAAATCATTCATAATAACAGACTCTGTCTGAAAACCAAGAAGAAAGCCAAAACCAAGCAGTATAGATCCTCGAGACACCAAAATAGATCACGAAAGGCATACTCCTAAGCCTTAGGCTGACCCTCAAATCTCCTCACAGTCTGCACACTTCTACTTCTTCCATAGTTTTAACTGTTCTGTTTATCTCAATGATATAATACTAATAGTAACATCTGGCTTGAGGAGGAAGAACCAATTAGAGGTAAGTGATTTGTTTTTCTATTTGTTTTGTTCCACAAACATCTTAAGCAAGACCAGAAGGAGGAACGACACCAAACATTACATGCTATATTAGGGTTTCTAAGAGCACCTGGAGACAGAGTCAGTCCTTCTCAGATGGCAAGCGGTCCATGTGCACATGGAAAGGCATGGCTTAGTAGTGTTGTGGTGCTGGTTATAGGATGCTTACTTTCTGTGCATTTCATTTATTTATTCATGATGTGGGGATAATCATGTGCAGGATTTTAAAAAGACTGAACCGTGAAAATAACTTGGAGAAGTGTGCAGCAACATCTCAGTGAACATACATGTTAATAGTTCCTAGAGATACATCAATGTGTGTAAGTCACTGAAACATGGAAATTTATTTCCATTTCAGGAGGCTGGAGAATGGTGCATTGTAGAAGTATTTACATATTAATAACTGAAAGGTACAGAAATTAGAACCTTTATGTATTACAGGCAGGAAGGTGAGATTATGCAGTTAATGTGAGAAACAGTATTGTGTTTCTTCAGAAAATTAGAAGTTAGCTTGTCATGTGATCCAGAAAGTCCACATTTAGGTATATATGTCTCCATACTGAAAAGATGGACTCCAGAGAATGAAAGCAACTCAAATGTCTGTCAACAAATCAAGCAAATAAATAAAATGTGGTATGCACATATGTAAAGTATTAGTCTTAACAAAACAGATGATAATCTGGAGCATGCTACAACTTGACGAACTTTGAAGACATACCAAGATGAGCCATATCAAAAGGATAGCTATTGCACAGTAGCGTTTATATGTAGTACCTGAAATACTCATATCTGGAAGGATAGAAAGTAAAATGGTGGTTACCAAGGGTTGGGCAGAAGAAATGATGGAAAGTTAGTCTTCAATGGATGCAGTTTCAACTGAGAAGATAAAGAGTTCTGCAAATGTTGGTGATGTTTGCATAATAATAAAAAACGTACTGGATGCCACTTAATTATATACATACAACTGTTGCAATGGTAAGTTTTATGGGCTTTGTACTTTGTCCTCATAAAAATTCTAAATATTTTAATTGGAGTTGGCATAAACACATGCTGTTTGGAAACACTCCCTTGTATCATCTATCCCTTCCATAGCCTGAAAATGTTGCCCTACCAATAAACATTTTCTTTCTATCTTTTTAAATGTTTCTTGTGTCGTTATGATCTTATAACTTGTTTTTGTTCTTAATTCCAAAAGTGTTGTTTCATGACAGTAAACACTTGTAGGCACATTTCAAATGAAAGTCGTCTTTATATGAACATGCTTTAACCAAACCATGTTGCTTGAACTAATGTCTTTGGACAATGTGTTGATCTCAAATATTTTTATAAGACTTCC